TAAAGGCAAGGAAACATTACATCTTCCGACTCCAAGGTAAGTGCAACAGATCTCCATGTGCCACTCGACAATGTCAACATATACAGTTTACAAGCGCAGGACGACGCCCAACTAGTACGCCTCCTGAATAAATAAAACAGCCATCTCAACTCATATATCATAATTCATGTGTGTATCTTTTGTCGAACACACCAACTAGTGAAACAACATGATCTGCGACAGCTATTTCCCGCTAGATGACCTGCTCCGTCAAAATAGCGATAAACGCGCGCGACTGTTCACTGTTCCTTTTTTGCTAATGGACATTATGAAAACGATTGTATTTATAATCGTGTATCGCACATCTCTTTGAAGTAATATTTTCATAGATAAGACAATTTCAGCGTTTCGCGTGCGCTGTGAGTGCCAAATGCAAATAAGGAATCCTCCCGCATTCAGAAAACGTGGTGTGAGAGTTAAGTCTATTTCGTCTGTCATCCGACGTCTGTCTTGACTGCTGGAGCTTTACATCTCATAAACGTGTGTATCTCAAGTGGCTACACTTGCCAAGTGCTCTGGTGATGGCGTCGAGCTGCCCCAAATCTAAACAAAACTTTCTTGGAGGCATGAATGGAAAGTCTTGGGTGGCACCTTCACCCACAATAATTTCCTGACTTTCTGTGTTGAGTGCCTTAGAACTTCTAAACCATTACAGGATAATCAGAGATATGCAAATGCATTGTTGGCTTCCAATTTGTGCCTGGGTAATGCAAGTGGGAGTAGAATAGATAGAACACAAATCAATAAGCATCTACCCAATGTCATGCAATCATGTCATCATTATTGTTGCATGCAAAGATGACCTTACATCAAGTAACTAACTGCCGGGTGGAAAAATTACCCTTGGTACCTGGTTGTAGAAAACATCATACTTATTCTTTGAGATGCACTAATGTGAAGGGGTATTTGAGGAATATGTGACCGAGTTATGTACAATGTTGCCTGACTGTGTATCATTTGTTATTGGAACCGCTGTATTGTATTAGTTGATTTTTTTTTAAATTGATGTCTCGATTGAGCATTTCAAGGATCATTTAGTGACGACTTTAATTTAACTGGCTTTCGATCTGTTTCATTCATGTGAGCTAGCAAATTTAGGATTCCGGGCCGCTCCTGATCAATATTTTGGCTGAAATTTCTGATCCGGTCCAATCCGGCCGTCGAATTGATCCGCAATTCATGGATTGATCTAATCTGTGAAGTGCTCTAGTCTCTTTCAATGCAGATGTTTTCTATCGCCATCAGTCTCTGTAACTTTGTCCGTTTTCTGTATCAGTCTGATTTCTGTGCTACCGTTTATAATTTTGGGCATCAGATGAATTTCTTGTGCTGCATTCCTGCGTGTGCTCTTGGATAAATGTAAGGTGGGTGCGTGGTCAACGTGTGTCTGGAGAATATTGTGGGAGTGTGGCCCACGCATACACACTTTAACAAGAAGGCCTAAAGCCGCGTGAACCCGATTAAAACTGTACTCAAATTTGATTTTGCACGGTCATACGTGGCCCGGCCAGCCCAGTCACACCAGCTGGCCCAGACCTGCTGGCCAGGGCTGGCCCGAACCAGCCCTACCAGAGCAGCTGGCCCAGACCAGCTGACCAGAGCTGGCCCGGTCGTCACGCTCTCGTATAGCTCGCATGTCGAGAGCCGCTGGTAGCAGGCCAAGATACGACAGTTATTTCTTTTTTTAGTGTTTGATTGGTTGAGTGACAGCTTTCTGAAATCACGAGTTTTGCCTCTTTCTTGAAGCATGACTCCAGTTCTAAGTGACGTTTTTTGCACGCTCTATTCAGGAAATATCAAATGTTCTTAACAGACACCAATCGTAAGCAACATAAGCCAACAGCTTGTGTTTGTTTGGTGCATATTTGAACCCAGCTATGAGATGTGCCACTGTTCAAATCGATTGTTCCCATTTATGAAGGCGTCATGAAGCGCACGTCGCACTACAAATTCGCTGCTACAGAGAGCACGCAGGGGGCCGTAGATCGTCCGTAGCTCTGGTTCTACACTCAGAGCCGATACCCCGCCCGCCGTCACGCCACAGCTCACACTACTCTTCCCCGGAATAGGAAGCAATAGGCCTTTCCCTGGAAACCAGCCGTCAAAACCGGTTGGTGTCCACGCCCACAGCGCCATCAAATGTGTCTCAATCGTCGCTCGGATGGATTTCTCGGAGGGCGCTCGCGTTTGGGGCAGGATGCCTTTCGATCAGCCGTTATCGCTCCTTCGTCTCCTAACAACGTGCCGAGTTCCGTAAAGCTTTTCAGAATGGACTGGCCCGTTAAGAAGTCTCACGTTTGTGTAATATGAAGATCAACATGGCTGATTTCATGAAATTGTCCATTTGTTTTTCAAGTGCTTAGCATTTATATTAAATCGTGTTGGGATTACGTTCATAAAATGACCGCTGACATCACACATGTTCAGGATCAACCGCTCCAAGACGCTAAGAGCAGTCTGGTTTCAGTGTCAGTTCAGTGTGGGGTAGGCCCAAATTTGCCTTGGTTTGAGAGTGTGTGCGGAACACATGCCGGCCCCAGGCACGAGTTTGGGCTTTCCATGCTCTGCATCCGGTAGGCAGAACATGCAGCCTGTGTGTCAAGGCTAATTTCAAGAGGCTCATCATTCACTTCCACGGTACTTTTCCACTGTCATTTTGCAAATTTCAAGGCGGCGGTCATTGTGAACAAAGGTATCTTTCATGTTATATCTTGTCACATATGGAGTAAGTGCATCCGCCTAAGCATGCATGTGTATACTGTATGTAGGAGACTGGTGGACCGTCATCTAAGCGCTTGTCACGACGAGAAGACTTGGGCTGCCATGCTAAATCCTTTCCATCACCCTAATTCGCTCGGAAAAGACGTTTGAAGTAATATTCGTTATTGCGCACCAGCACAGCGTCTCTTGCGCTTCACCCACCTTTCAAATAAAACTTACGATGCGCTTAATTCATTTAACATGAAAGCAGCACACAGATACGGAAGTTGTCGGAAATCATCCAAATGTAAGATTGGGTTCATGTGTCTAACAACCTGGGCAACATCGTCACGGAAGCAGCACAATGCTAGTTTGACTGCGTCCAGATATTTGTGTAGCCTCCCATGTTGGTGTGCGATCGGTCACTCACACACCACCGAAAGTCGTGAATTTGCAGGTTCCGGGCCGCGCTAAAAGTTTGTGTCAGAGCTTGGTAGCTAGATCAGATATGGCATTAAAATCAGCTGCGTCCTGGAGCGGCTCGATCCTACAATGATTTATGTGGCAAGCTACACAAAATAGCTAAACGCTGTTCTGCCCATAGGAACGCAGGCGGCACTTGGCGAGGTTAACACCGCTGCAGAGGAACTGCTTTCTGCAGATGATTCCTCTGATTCATGTGCCTGAATTTCAAATAAAGATGCTCCGGCAAGGCTAGGAGAAGTATCCCTAAACTCCAGAAGACGGAGCCGATGCCAACTTTTTGAAACACTGCAGTCCCGATGTCAGAGAGATATCGAGACCCCGGTGCGCTCTCCTTCCCCCTTGCCACCCACCAGCGCTGACCGACCACGGCGTGGCACCGTGCCGTCACTTCAGATCTGCTGACGGCCGGGGACACCGGAGCTGCTGCCCATTATCCACTTAGTCAACCAAGTCTCAAGAAGGTGCGAGGGATGAAACTCGCCTTAAGTTGCGAGTTAATTGGATTGTTATCTGCTAATTTTTTCAACTGGTCCCCAGACGTCCCAGTTAAGAACTGGCAACGCTGACAAATGAACCAGCCTTAAAAGCGTGTCTGTTCCTGGTCTGGATTTTTCAGGCTCTAAAGAGATAAAAGGGGTGGGAATAAAGTCCTCACCCCTGGTATGGACTAGACGATCTGTCAAACGAAATTGGCAATGGCGTGGCGTTACGTGCGCAGGTTTACAGACAGCACTTCACACGCCAAGTCAAGGAAACAAGCCGATGAAGTATCATGTTAATGCGGATGCTAGCGCTTTTTAACATCAACAAGCTTTGTCTATGAAGTTAGATAATGAACACGAGAGACAGGACTGGGACTGCAAGAGTGGGAGTCGTCTTCGTATCGGATCGCTCACGTACCATTAGCAAGTAGCTCTTTGTGTCCAGTAGCTTGCTCCTCAATTCCCTTTTACTAGATCATCGCCGTTGGGCGACCGAAAATATAATTATAGCTCTGATATTTGAATGGATGCCAGCCAAAAGTGAAAAGCTACGAAGCAATTACGCGGCCTCAGCGAGGGATGATCCCGACATTGAGAATGTCAAAAGAACAGTGTCATTGAGGTAAAGTTGATAAGAAACCTTTGGTATGCCTGGGGGCACTATCCAAGTTTGTCATATCAAAAATTTTACATTAGAATAAATGTCAGTGCCGGCTAGCAACGACCGTCAGGAGCACCCAGAACTGATTAAAAGTTGTGCTTTAATATTCAATATCTAAAACCAAGATCCTCTAAACGAAATTTGTTGAACCGTGCCATTTCCATTCGGCATAATAAATGCTGATTATTGCTATTGGCGCTATAAATCATATTGTAGGATTGAACAATGTCGAAAATCATAAGTTCTAGACTTCTCGCAATCACGTCCAGAAAATTTGCCATGGTAACTTCCGAGGAACCTCAGGCCAAGGAAAGCAAGCCACCCTAACGCGCCAACGGCTTATCCTGGCGGGGCAGTGACGCTCAGCCTCGTGCGGGCGGCGGGGTGCCTACTTCCCGTCCACTTTATCCGTGACTTGACCAAAGCCACCGCACGGCCGCGACCAGGCCGCGCGGGGACGGGGACCGGGCCCGGATGTGTGGGTTCGGTGGCAAACAGCTCGGCGCGCCGAGGGGACCCTGTTAGGGCGGAAGAAAGGACCGACGAGGCGGGCCTTGCGTCAGTGGGCCTGGCCTACATTCACCGTGGCCGGAGCGCCGGCGGCGCTTGATCGCAGCCGCAGTGTCAATGGACCTTGAGTTCGAGCCCGGTGGCCGGCATATAAGCCCTACGCAGACTGCAGGACCGTCAAACCACCTCCGCCGCCGCTCACCTCAGCTCACCGCCGCACGCTCACAGGTGAGACGTCAGCCGCGCGCCGCGTGGAGCTAGGCTGGGACAGTACGGTAGGCCTGACGTGAGATCTAACATAAAACAAAATTATTTCAGCTGCCTGTGCTGTGGAAAGAGTTTTCATGCTAGAATGCTTATGTTCTGATTACGCGTATCATTCAGGGAACCCCGTTTCCATCTCTCATAGCGATGCTCCTCGGGTGGTAAACACGTAACGCCGATATCGGTCAATTAAAGGTGATCGGCTTAATATAATTCACACATTGATTAACATAATTAAACAAGGTATATCGTGTGCGTAACGCGTTCATACACGGGACATTTTATTGTCTTCATACACGCCTCTTTCTATAAGCGAGTATGACAACACCTGAGCTGAAATGAAACCACATGGATGTCGCTTTTTTGGTATGCATGGCTTAATCAACGACATGCGTCAGCACATCATCAGGCACTAAAGAACTTTAATGATGCATGCATCATTGCATGCATGGGCCCGCTCTAAACTAGTCTTCGGCGAGACAAATGCCCTTCCCATGCATCATGCAATTTTAACTCTTCGATTTGAAACACCGATTTTTCTCTACGAACGCTCTCCTGCCTAGATTTCACCGAAATACTTGACTTGGTTGTTCTGCAGTATCCGGCTGCTTTCAGCTCCTTCCGTCTTACGAGCGGTGTTGCCTCTGTGCGCAGTCACCATGAAGCTGACATTGGTCCTGCTCGGCCTGGTCGGCCTGCTCACCTACGCCGAGGCCATCATCGTGCTGGGTACGGCGGTCGGCTCCACCGTGGCCGTCGGCACCGCCCTCAACGCCGCCGCGCTGGCCGGCGTTGGCGGCCTGGCGCTCGGCGCTGGTCTCGTCGGCTTCGCCGCGCTGGCCGGCCGCCGCGGCAAGCGCTCCGTTCAGGACAGCGCCAAGGAGGAGACCATCTTCAACCTGGTCTCCTCCTCGGACAGCTACGGCTGCGCTCTCAAGCTGGTCTGTCTGCTGGAGGCCAAGCCGGAGGAGCAGCTGACGGCTGACGACCAGTTCATCCTCACCATTTTCGGGTTAGTGGACGACCGGGGGTGTTGTGGCGCGCACGCTGGCCTTCAGTACACTGCCGAACGCCCCGCGCTGCTGACGCAACCCGAAGTACGAAACCTAGAAAGTACTCTTTCACACCAGTTACGCGTCCAGGTGAAACATCCACCTCATTCAATGCTTAATTCATCTTGTACGGAGCCGAGTGACAGTCCAGTCTGCACCGTGACAGCCTGTGCGCTAACGATGTGAGCCGGCCCGCAGTGACCTGACGATGGTCGTTTTCCCCGCAGCCGGGAGCCGGAGGCCCCGACTGTGGAGGCGCTGAAGAGCGCGCGCGGCGCGTACGACTACGCTGCCTTCATGGGGTCCAAGTTCGGCGCTGACGCCTGCCAGAAGCTCTTCCACACCTGCTCGTTCGAGTACGAGGACATGATCGCCTACGTGGCCCAGCTGCGGGCATGAGCGGTCGCCTAGCCGGCTATTCCCTAAGCCGTTGGCCGTGTACCTCTCTGGGAGCGCCATCTCCGTTTCCCGCTTGCCAAGTTGGTGGCAGCGCCGGCTGGCCTGGGTCAACATGCGTCTGATGAGCGCTGGAAACATGTTAGCAGCAGCATGTTTCTCACCCGCTCCTCGTTCACGGCACGCTGCAATATTATTTATTACGTTGATGGTTTGAAGGAAAATAAAATGCGTCGTTTTCGCCAATGTTTTTGTTTTTGTTGCGAACAGTTAATGTTAGCACTCATTGCTCATGCAGGTTTCATGGTAAATATTTTCGTCCATACAACCTTATAGATGTTTACCCAGGGTCACCATTGCGAAAGGTTAGCGTGGACAATCCTGATCATCTTGAACGTGCTATGGTCATTCTACACGAGGGCACTCGATCCATAACTGAATGCCCCTACGGTAAAACAGTGACGGGACAAAGGGATTTTCTTGCTCAACCTCATCTGCTCAAGGCGGAGGGCCAATGACAGACTCTCAAGAGTGAGATTGTCATGAGGTTGCGAATGGATTAACTAGGACCGCATGGGTACGCGTCGATTCCATTGAATTCTACAAAAGGTATTTTACTGCGTACAATGATACCTAATGCCTTAACTATATTTCGAAGCCTTAATAACTTTGAGACAATCTTTGCTAAAGCGGTCGATGAAACTGGTGTCTGCACAGGCATGAATAGGTTAAGCGATTCGGCAGTTCCTTAAGCATGTCTAATCTTTGTCATTCATAACTGCATAAAACCATTGCTGACTGGAATATTCCTTTTCTAAAAAGAAATTCAACGCACAGAAGAAAACACCGTGGTAAAGATAATGATAGTTTCCAGCAAAGTTATGCAAAATCAAAACTGCCTGTCTTCCTCCAATAACGGTTTTATGAAATGACCTGAACGAGTTCAGAATACTTCCTCAGATTGCGGCCTAAGCGGCCGGCATTATTTCGATGACTTAAGTAACTTAACTAGGGCGCCCAAAGACAGAACAAATCTCATGAAATGAGAAGCATAGAGAGCAAAAAAGAAATTCGCCCTTTGCCCTGATGTATTAGGATACGGTGATCTGCGCGTCATCACACAAACTCGAGGCTTGACTTGCCGCACGATTTCAAACTCGTGAAATTTTTTTAGAGCCTGTACCCATCCTATAGGAAAAGAACGTCCGCCATTTATGTTAATATTTCATGAGGCAAAACAACTATCTTTGGTGATGTCGTTAGAGGCACAATCGATTTTGTGCTCTGTTACGCAGACAGCTACCATACGTGCGCAAAATCTTCATATTGCGTGATACCATTTGTGTTGTTCAGTAACGACAGATACAAAAATAGTTTCCGACAGTGCATGAATGTGCCATAATGGCGACGGGAAAGATACAAAAATCCTTTTTGATAACATTTGTGTGTGCACTTCTGACAGCAAGTACGTTTGACTGATGACGTATGGCACGCGTACCATGCCACTAGATAGTGGAAAAACCTTTTGTTTTGACTAAGCAGGCAAACATGATCACGGCTTTCAGAGGCCTTACATTCATACAAAGAAAGGGACCGTCAGTGGCTGATGTCTTTTACTTTGCATGACATCTTCAGTAAACAAATAAATGCGTATGCGTTAAGCTCAAACAATCCGTTCACTACCCTATCATAGTCTGTCCGAAATCCAGCGGGTTTGGGGCCTGTTCGGGGACAATAAAAGAGCATCCCCCTGATACAGGCCTAGAACGACATCAAGAGGGAGTTTCCAAAGTCTAGAGGCAAGTCTAGATGGCTTGACAAAACGGCACGCTTTTAAGTTAATTTCTTCACAACGGTCATAGTATTATGGCTTGAGGATTTTCCTCTTGTCTAACCCTTGAATCTCTCTCAAAGGCAGTCATTTTGTAGAGCTGAGTGATGGCTCGCTTGTGCCACAAATGACAATGCCATAGGATGAACAGTATCCGCTTTGAACATGTTTGAGCCGGTCCTAGCCTGAAAACGTAAAAAAGTCGCGTCATTTACAGCCATAAACGCTAAAAATGGCTAAACCTCATTTCACCTCCCGCCATTAGCATGGGGGTCTCGAGCAAATTGGACACATTATATGCTCAGTTCCCTTAAGGCATTATATTCACATTTTGAAATGTTTGCACTGATGTATTGTACAAAGTGGTAGCAGTGGATAAGAATTTAATTCTTGTGACATTTTCTCACTTGAGATGAACATAAGCAGCACAGAAAGATAATTAACCCGCGCCCAACGGGGTCATTTTCACACCATGGCCCACCAAGAGGGATGAGACCTAACAGGCACTCCGGGCCCTCTCACTAACTTTTGAGATATCATTTTTCAGCTAGAATATCGATTAAAAAACAACAGCGAATCGCCTGGCTTTAGCCTTTGTGAAGATCTCCGAGGTTTGGGTTCCAGAGTTATAGATGGCCTTCCAGGTCGAAATAGCCGCCAGCACCAGCAACGTTTTTCTGTTTTCTTGCTCTGGACATTTCCGGGATCTTAGGTCCGGGACAGCTGCGTAACCTCTCAGGTCACGGAAACATCAACACGACTGCAATATCTATTTGAGCGCATGACAACACACACACACACACACACACACACACACACACACACACACACACACACACACACACACACACACACACACACACACACACACACACACACACACACACACACACACACACACACACACACACACAGACATATATATATATATATATATATATATATATATATATATATATATCGCTATTACCGGTAGCTGATGCCTGACTGAACAAAGCAGGCGGCGGGAAAAAAGACGCATGTAGTAGTCGTTTAAGCTGTCCAACCGCGCTTTTATATTTTGGGTCAATTTGTAACCTAAGCGGGCAGGCTAGATCGTTGGGGGTAATGCACGCTTTCAAATTATTGCACAATGCACGCCTTTGTTTTAAAATAGCCGGAGAGACGTATTTTGAATTATTTGTATTATTTCAGTTGGATGTAGGCTGTATTGAATGCATTTGACCGCTGACAGGTATGACCAAAACTGTGTTTTAGGCCATGATATAACCACCAATAACCACCAATTATATAATCTAACCACCAATAAGTTAGAATATAACCACCAATGCTACAAAGGCAGCTTGAACGATATTCTGCGCAAGTTGACAAGCTTTCCAAATGACTAATATCTACAAACCATGTGAACGATTTGTGCAATATCAAAATAGATCACACAGTCTCACGATGCGTTGCAGTAATAACCATGATACGCTATAATGCCGCGAAGAGCAAGGCGGGACAAGCGCGCCCAGTTTGCTCTATTCGCGTTGGCAGCTGCAGCAACAGGCTATGGCAGGGCGGCTCAGATTCCCGTGCAAGCGCCAATAGTTCAATGTCGTAACACCGGTTGACGTGTGGAAGATCAGCGTCGCCTGCATGCAAGCACCCGTCAGCGAAGTGGGATGGAAAGTGAGCATCACCAAAGCAGCACGTCGGCACGAGCCACGGCACTTAAATTTTACCTAACCTAAATTTTTGTCATTCAGTTGTAATAACACACAGCGTATGTGTAACAGTTGCCGTATCTGATAATGAATAGGCATGTTTCCCTAAGCTTGACCTCTGATATATGCGCCCTTACCATCAGACATATTCAGACTTGATATGACTTACGTCAAAATTGGTTACGTATTTCAAGGAAACTTGGCCTCACATAATCTTCCCAAATGGTCCATAAGGTACGGCCTATTCATAAAAATGCTAAACAGGGGGAGGTAAGAAGAAATAAGCAATTGGCAGATATATGGGGTACTTGGCACACATTCCATAGCGTCATCTACTGCAGCAATCATCAGGTTTAGCGGGCACCAGATTATTTTGAAAACAGATATGCAAAATCTGCCAAGCTCACCTCGTTGAGTGAGTGTTAGGAAACATACATGGTATATTTGATGGTGCCACGTTTTTTTTTTGGTTTCCTGCCAGCCAATAATCTGTTTTAGGTGTTAACGTATCTTTTCTTTCGCACTGTGGGTAGCCATGCACCTGAGGTGCCTAATTATAAGCGGTTTCAACCTTGCACCGATCTTCAATGAAATCCTCCGTATATGTTCTTTTTTAGGAAATACAGCTGTTTCAGCATGCAAAACGATACACGAACTGTTAATTACATACTTAAAGTGAACAATGAGCAGAATGAAGGTCATGTTAATCAACGCCCGGCCGGGGTCTGAGACAACCGCGCCCGGCCGGGGTCTGAGACAACCGCGCCCGGCCGGGGTCTGAGACAACCGCGCCCGGCCGGGGTCTGAGACAACCGCACCCGGCCGGGGGTCTGAGACAACCACGCCCGGCCGGGGTACCGCGCCCGGCCTGGGGTCTGAGACAAACGCGCCCGGCCGGGGTACCGCGCCCGGCCTGGGGTCTGAGACAAACGCGCCCGGCCGGGGTACCGCGCCCGGCCGGGGGTCTGAGACAACCACGCCCGGCCGGGGCCTGAGACAACCACGCCCGGCCGGATCGCGCCCAGCCGGGGTCTGAGGTAACCACGCCCGACAGGGGGAAAGTTGACTTCCCACACGTATCTCCAGCTTCCAGACACCGTGTGATAAAAAACAAAGATACCGTTCTGAAAGCCTCGTCAGATCATTAACAACGCACACAAAACGTCTGACCTTGGGCCAAATGTAAGATCACCAAAGGCCACGAAAGGTCAAAAACGGCCGTTCTGTAGATGCGGGTAAAACGTGTGTTTACACGTTGATGCGGACATTTAAGGCACGGAAATAGGCGTTAATACTGTGGGGAGTCCATCCCGGCATCTTATGTCCCTCCATATGCACCAAATCCGATCAGTTCACTGTTCAAAATCGCTGTACCAGTAGCCTACAAGAACGACATGTCCATCGGAATAGTCTTCTGACTAAGTATATTTGATTCGATGCTGCTGCGGGAAAGTATTCCAGACACAAAAATATGAGCTGAAGGTGACCCAGAGGTCATCTGATGTCAACTTGGGTCAAATTTATGGATCACCCAAATGAAAGAAATTTCAAGTGCTCACCAAGCCTATGTGACCAGTACAATCCTCTTCTGTGGTCGGAAATAGCATGTCGGACATCTACAGGTACACAAAATTGTCAGTATGCATAATTTCTTAGACGCTTGACAATGTATGTGCAAAAAACTGAGAGAGGTACGTTGGTGCG